TCTACGTGTTCTGATCATCCCCGATGGACGTTCCTAGTTTGACTGCTACAAAGTTATATGAACTTTTCATTTCTTTTAAGCTATTTTAATTTCTGGAATGGGAAAGCTAGCCTGATGTCTCGCTTCTAAAAGAGAACATTAGATCTATATAAGTTTTGAGGGCCCCCTAGTGAACAAAACCCAGAATGGCTAAACACCGTCATCTTTACTACAAAAGGGGAAAAAAAATAATATATTATTACAATTTGTGGCTGCAAAATTAAGCACATTTCTTGAGACACATCAAGTTAACTTTAATGAGTTTGTTGTACAATGGTGTCCCCCAAATACTCACAGTTATACAATTGTCAAAAGAGAGAAGCGGTAGACGAGAGGAACAGAAGAAAACAATGTTGTGTTTAATTAAATGAGATAAATAATTGAGGGGGTGGGGAGTCAGTGGGCAAATGGGAATTTTGAAAGGAAAAGAGTACCAGAGGAAATTTTACCTGAGCATAAATGTCTGCTCTGCCAAATGTAGCTATTTGCAAGGCAGCCATTTACCAGAATAAAAACTGATGAGAATGTTGCAGATTATCTGCTTGTCCACCTCCCAATAAACCATCTCACTTCCTTTTTTCCTGGACAAGTAGATATTTTAAAAGATTTAACAAATATCTTTGGGCTGTGGCAATACATTTATCTTTGGACTGTACATACATTTTTCTCCAAAACTTACCCCTGTAAACAAAATCGAGGTTGAAAGCACAAATCCCAGTAAATTCTGATGGAATATCAAGGCCAATGGGCAAAATTAATGGATAATGACATTCCAAGAACAATGGTGAACATATTATGTCCAGAGACATATGGTAGAGTTTTGGTAGAGTTTCCTATATATTGCCTAGAAAATGGGGAAAGTATATATAACTTTTATATCAAGAGTGTCTGTGGACCTTATACAACTTTAGTACAAAAAATAATATTGAGAATTTATTGGACTCAGCTACATATAAATAAAAAAGTCTGTCTATGGCATCTTTTTGTTAGAAATGTATTAAGGATAATACTTCTTTAAAGCACATGTTTTTACAATCTCCTATATGTACTAAATTTTGCAAGAAAGCAATGCATTATATAAATATGACTGTACAACAACAATTAAAATTTCCAGAGGATAATATTCTCTTGGATTACGTACCTATTTCATATCTGACATCTGGACACCCTAAATGGATTCTATGTGCCCTTACTACATATCGCCAAAAGACTAATACTGAAGCATTAGAAAGTTAGATGTATGGCTCTGTTCACTGAATAGATTGATGACCTGATATGAATGATAGTCATACAAATGTATTAGAAATGTGTGTGTGTGTGTGTGTGTGTGTGTGTGTGTGTGTATTTATTTATTTATTGAATTTATATTGCCGTTTATTTGCCCATGGTGACTCAAAGTGGCTTAGTATATTTAAAATAACATAATAATAATAATAATAATAATAATAATAATAATAATAATAATAATAATAATAATAATTTTAAAAACTAACAAAAAGAATCAAATAACTTAATGAAGTACAATAGAAAAAAAAATGGGAAAAATAAATAAAAAATCACCCCCAACTCCCACCCCCTGCCGTGACGACAGCAGATCACACTAGCCATTTGATGGGCTCTATCCCGCAATGGGCTCTCCAGGCCCGCTGGCCGAACCAGGTCGTTCTGGAAGAGTATTCGAGAGGGGGCCGTTCTAATCTCTGGGGGGATGGTGTTCCAGAGAGAGGGAGCCACCACAGAGAAGGCCCTTCTTCTGGGTCCCAACAGGTGTATCTCCCTCAGGGATGGGACCCGCAACATTCTCTGCATCCCCGGTCTAATGGGTCGGGTAGATGTTGATCAGCAAGAGATGTTTCCTCAGATAACCCGGACCCAAGCCATGAAGGGCTTTAAAGGTGACAACCAGCACCCTGAATTGCACCTGGAAGCAATGCAGCTCCCGCAGGAGAGGTGAAACATGGGTCTGCACAAAACCATGCGGGCCGCTGCATTTTGCACCAACTGGAGCTTCCGGATGTTCTTCAAGGCAGACCTACGCAGAGCGCGTTACAATAATCAAGACAGGAAGTGACTAGGGCATATGTGACTATGAGCAGGGACCTTGGATCCAGAAAAGGGCATAACTAGTGTAGGAGTAGTGAGTCCAGGAAAACCCCTAGATTACGCACAGGGTCTGTTTGGGGTAGTGCCACCCCATCCAAGACCAAAGGTGGAAATTCTCCCTGGCCCAACGAACCCCAAACCCAGAGCCACTTGGTCTTGCAAGGGTTTAGTTTCAACCCGTTGCTCCCCATCCAGCCCCAAACAGCCTCCAGGCACTGCGAGATGAAGGACACAGCCACACTTAACTCACCACGGGCCCAGACATACAGCTGAGTATCATCAGCATATTGGTGACACCTCAGTCCATGACGATGGATGATCTCACCCAGCGGCTTCATATAAATGTTGAACAGGAGTGGAGATATATATTCTCTCTCTCTCTCTCTCTCTCTGTGTGTGTGTGTGTGTGTGTGTGTGTGTGTGTGTGTGTGCGCGCGCGTGTGTAATATGAATAATATTTACATTAGATAAGAGGGAGGGAAGGAAGGAGGCACATACACATTTCCTAGACCATTCCACCCCAACCCCTGCATGATCCTCTGACTTATACTGCCCCCCAATACACTTCCCCAAGCCTGTCACCTCCTTCACGCCCCTTCTGACTTGCAAAGCACCTCCCATGCACCCGCAGGTACCCTTCTTAACCTCCATTGCCCACCCGTGGACCTGCAAGGCCAGAGCATACACCCACCACTTTCCCCAACATATATAACATTATATTATATATAAACTGAGCTCATACAACTACTGTGTAATCCAGAAACGGCTTGGCTTTAAGAAGGGTAGAGAGAAGATGGTCATGACAGATCCAAAACATCTCTATTCACTTTGTATCAAAATAATACATATTACTAGTCCCCAATATTTACGGGAAACCAAATCACACTCAATGTTCTTGTACCAATGCCAATGCTAATAGTTAGCACCAGCAGATTGTCAAATTAACCCTACTAGATATGCATGTAATCTTACATTTAATTTTTATACACTTATAGATTAGCATAGCTGTTTAGAGATCTCAGAAATATAAGTTTTTGAAGTGCCTGGATTAACAATGAATAGCTAATCAGGTATATTAATAGTATTCTTAATCTTCTTAGCTTAATATTCTTCCTTGTGTGACAAATAGGTTTTTTTTTCAATTTAGGGCTGCTGAAGTAAACAAAGCATTACATAATTCAGAAACATAAACTGATTTCTGGTTCATTCATCTATGGAGAAAAAGTTCTCCAACTTTTCTGATGTGTGAAGTTAACATTGGTTATTTGGATTTCTCTTTCAGACTCAAGCATGAAACACAGCATATATCAACCTATGCCTCAGTGTTTAAGTATGATGATAAAATAACCCTAACAGAAAAAGGTTACACTGTATATCTGGTCTAGAAAAATTCAGATGATGGCAGTAAATAGAGGATGAAAAAATTATTTTTTTCTTTTGCTCTGTGCCTGGTTTTGCACCACAAATCTAGTAATGTAGTACAAACTAGAGATTCTTCCAACCATGTTATTCAGCTACCTACTGGGACATGTCCTTATGTCCTGCTAACCATGGCTTGAAGGCTCCTCAGTAAATGATTTAAGAGGAGATAGGGTTGTGATCAGCTTTTGTCTCAGCCACAGTTTCTTCTTTTTTGTGCCCTGTCCTGCAGACTTTTCAGTGCTAAAAAGAGGTAGCAAATACGAAGCAGTGAATGTCTTCATTTCAATATCTACTGGTCATTTTACAATCCAGAACACAATCCTTTATTTTATTTTTATTTTATTCTATTTGGCTTGTCAATTGCTTACAAGATAACAGGTATAAGTAAAAACATAGTTATGAATACATGGATACATATAAGAAAAATAGAAAAGAAATAGAAATCCTAGGGTTAGCAAGCAGATGACAGGTTTCACACAACACACTGGGCTAAAATGCGACCAGCTGGATGTACGCAACGCACGTACAAACTCACAAAAATCTTTAAAATATGTTACTATTTTTTAATTTTATTTTTTTAATCTTTTTAATCTTTAAAAACAGCATAGGATTTCTTCCTGCAGCTGTCTAGTGCTGCGTGCTCCTCTAACAAAGGCACATAACTATTCTGCCTTGGTATCCTAAACTTAATACTACTCCCTTTCACCAAGCAACACTACAGATCAGCTACTTTAAATATATATATTCTTCTCCAGATAGATAGATAGATAGATAGATAGATAGATAGATAGATAGATCTCTAGATCTAGATAGATAGATAGATAGATAGATAGATAGATAGATAGATAGATAGAT